GGAGGGCAGGCAAGGGGAAAAAATGAGAACCAAGACCTGTCATGTAGAGGTATAAGATCCCAACAATGAATTTAACTGTACTGTATCTCTAAAACGTACCAATAAACTCAATTAAAGCTGAAAAAAAAATAAAGTAAGTCTCTCTCCCTCCAAAAAAAAAAAAAATCTTTCTGTATTCTGAAGCCTAATAAAATGGAGAGAAATAACCATCCCAACATTTCTGGGGCTGGGGATTTAGCTCAGCGGTTCAGTGGCCTGCCTGGCAAGCCCAAGGACCCGAGTTCAATCCCCAGTACCAAAACAAAACAAAACAAAAAACCCAACATTTCTGAATCTGTTATGTTATATCCACTTACATCACTCTGAATTTGATTCGCATTCCTTGTGTGCTCAAAACTCATGGCATCAGGTAGGTACGTGTAGTGATGTAGCGGCTGTTTGTAGTTCACATTGGTGGCCACATCCTGGGCCATCTTTGCAGCTGTAATGCTAACCATGTCCCCAGGGGTATGGTAGCTGGTTTTGGTATTCTCATAGTTCTTCTTGTATTCACGATCAGACTGCAGCTTTGCCACATTCATGTAATGGACCAGCTTCGGATCATCCTGGAGGCTTCTAAAACCCACATGCTTTCCCTTCGACTTCTCATGTGCTTCTTTGTATTTGTACTGCAGAGATAAAATTTGGTTGGCAAAGTCGTAGGCACTTTCTGGGAGTGTTGAAGAAATGCAAAGGACACCTCATGCCAGAAAGCCCTGAGTTAAAACATTTGTTTCAAACTGCTGGCGGTATGGTGTGCATTTCAACGGAACGTTATTATAAATTCAAGACCAAAATAAATAAATTAATTAATTCAAGACCACTTTTTTTCCTGGCCTTGATTCCTACAGGTGGTCTGCATGTAGAATGACATTTAAAACCCAATGAGTTTTCACATTTACTATGAACATGACTCCTTCCAAGTATCTCTTGGTTTCGTAGGATGTGACTTTCTCTAGTCCAACATGTGATTTCCCATAATGGCTATGAGTACTCGCTGTGTAGTTAGCTGGGCCTTCACCAAACCTGATTATCAGCAGCTTCTCTCCAAATTCACAGCTTAAGCAGCTGTAAATAAATTAAGGAGCTACAGTAAGGGCAGGAACTTTTGTGGGGCTTTCTCATGAGCAAAACCTAATTTTAAAAACTAACCTATTCAAGGTCTCTCACTGCTGGGATCAGCAATGGGAAATAGATTAAGCATTCTATAGCAGGTCAAAACCTCAATTTTTATACAAGAGAATTAAAATCCATCTAAAGTGTGCAGGCCCTGAGCTCTTCTTATACTGCAATGTAAGTATGGGTTCATAAATGAGGATTCAGCAAGTCCAAGGATTATCAAGTATGTGAGAAAAAGTAAAGTGCAATTGCTAAAAACAGGGGGGGTAGTTTTATGTCAAACCTTCACTTTCTACTTAAGGTACAAGTATTTCATGGTGATATGAATGTGTTCAAAGCTCTGAGGAAAATGTTGGTAGTACCACCCCTACAATAACAGATGTAGAGTCCTTATTCCCTTGTCCCTTATGTGGCTACACACATGGTTGGTTTCTTCCTTCTCTCCTTTTTGTTTTTGGTACCAGGGATCAAACTCAGGACCTTGCGCTTGCAAGGCAGGTACAGTGCCTCTGTGCTAAATCCCTGACTCTTACCCTTCTCTTTTCTCAGCCAAGACTGTTGCCCCTGGAGTAGTGTCTGACAGTGGCTTGCAAGCCATGTATGCTTTCTGAAACTTTTGTTTCCCAAAGATGGGATGTACATTCTTTTTAAAAAAATTATTACAGATGAAATAGGCACCAGTTTAGCCAAATCAAAATTGTATCCTAAAAAAGTGGTCTTTTCTCAGTTGGTTTATAAAAATATGTACATTTATATAACATCTTTTCAGTCTTTTAAATACAATTATAATGCAAGCAGTCATTTGAATTTGACATGTTAGTGTTTCCCCGGGTGTTGAGGCTGTGAGGGAAATGTGTCAGCAAAGGTAACTTGGCCCATGAATCAGTGGGGAAAGCCTCTGTCGAGGTTATGACAGCTCTACCAAGTGGGGTCAATTGAAAAGAGTGACAAAAATACTGAGAAAGTGACAGGTTTTCAAAACAATATTATGTGCACAATGTGAATGTCATTAAGTCAACAAACTGTTTTCAGTGAGGCATCCATTTAAACAAATACATATTTGATTACTTTTTAAGCAGGCAATCACTCAGCTTTCACCTAAAATTTTTACTCACATCACTGGCAATGTTTCTTGATGACTTGGCTGCAGCGATGGGAATAGCATCGGCCAGGACATTGTTGCCCTTAGCTATTAAATCATGCCAGTCCCGTTTGTAACAGACCTGGGGTGGAAAACCAAAAAGGATGTCAGCATGTTCTGTATTCAACCAGCTGAAGCGATTTCTCAGCTGCTGGGATTGCTTGTTCTTTTTCAGACAGAATCTAAAAGAATTGCCAACTCCACATAGCCTTCTAGTGAAGTGTCACACATCGTGTCTAGCAGGAAACTGCTAAACCCTCAACTAACTGTTATTCCAAATCTACTTTTGGCATGTTCTGGAAGAGGGACACTGAAAAACTGGAGGAGATCCAGAGGAGAGTAATAAAGGTTTTGGAAACAACTGGTATGTGAGAACTGAGAGAAAAACAAAGCTGTCCAGTCTTATGAAACAAAGGTCAAGAGAAGATCTAGTGATCAACTTTAGAAATTTTAGGATTATTATAAAATAATAAAGATTTCATTTATTTTCAATTTTCTGAAAGATAATAGCCTCCTCCACATGAAACTAGGAAAACAAAGTAGAAGTTTTAGGGGAACAAATGGCGGACTCCACATAAAGAAGGATGTTACTGCTACCCTACCTTACAAAGAGCCAACTTGGCAGGTAAAGAATCATCATCCTGGGATATGCTCCTCTGGGGGCGATGTGGAGAACTGTACTACATACTTGTCAAGGCACAGTCTTTCTCTAAAATGTTATCATTCTATTGTCAGGTCTGGGATTTACACCCCATCAAAGATCCTACTTACATCACTTATGTTGTAAGCATTACACTTGGCCTGGAGAAACTGTGGAAGATCAGGACTGATTGTGTATTTATGCTTTACATCTTCTCCTTTAGCTTTGTATAAGACCTGCAACACACAGGCACAAAAATAAAAAAGCATTACACATTGTGCAAAAAGTGAAACCAATCACACACTTAACGGAGTTATTCTCTCATTTGTTTCTATTATTAAAAATCATCAAAGGAGCCTGGCGTGGTTGTGCAAGCCTGCAATCCCAGCACCCTGTGAAGCTGAGGCAGGAGGATCATAAAGTCAATCCCAGTCTGGGCAACTTAACAATTTAGCAAGACTCTGTCTGAAGAAAAAATGTATATGAGGGAAGGCATTGTGGGGATATAGCTTAGGAGGAAAGCTCTTGGTTTACCCCATAGTGCCAGCAAAAAAGAACCACAAAAAACAAAACAAAACAAAAAGACATTTTCACTTAAAAAATAAACATATCTTTAGGAAGACTCAACAATTTGTGTATTAAAATTGAAAAAGGAAAAAACCCTTAACAAAATGGAAATCTTTGGCTGCCAGAAATGCAGGGGAAGTAAATTAAAATGCAAAACCCTAACATGACTAACAGAATTCTCCAAAGCAGGATAAGTTTATTCTTTGCCAGTAGAGTTAATAGTTCTTAAGTTTTTTGTTCTTATTATTTCATTTTTGGCTTTTCATCCCTGCAGAGGAAACAGTAGTTAGAATGAGTATTATTTTGGGGGCCAGGGATTTGGCTCAGTGGTTTCACTTCCTGCCTCATAAGCACAAGGGCCCAAGTTCAATCCCTGGCACCAAAAAAAAAAAGAAAAAACAAAACAAAACAAGTTTTTCTGTTGTTTTGGCTTTTTTTGGTACTGGGGATTGAACTCGGGCTCTTGCACTTGTGAGGCAAGCAGCAAAACCACTGAGCCAAATCCCTGGCCCAAAAGAGTTTTATTTTTGTCAAAAAAAGTTCCAATTACAATTATATCAATAAAACTACATAATAATTTCCTCTTAATAGGAAGATACTTATATATGAATTCAACATACTTATAAAGTTTACCATTCCATATTTACCTTGTCATTTTAAAGAATTACATACACTTTTCACTGAAAGACATTGTGTGATGTGAGATCTTACTGTATGTGAAGTATGGATCTTAGTTTACCCTTCTCTTATTCATAGAAAATAAATGAATTGTTTAATTACTAAAACTAAGATCCAGAATCACAAGTAGATTTTCGGTCTTTTAATTGCCATTTAGAATATATATCTTCCTTTCCCAAGGATGACTATGGGGAATAGCAAAGCTATATTTGTTTGTATAGAAGGAAAATCTAAAATGGTTAGTATCTAAATTAATTCCCAAATACCAAGTAATTTCTTCTAGGAATCTAAGAATTATCTTTAATTCCTCACTGCCTTTAGGAACAATGTTTAAACATGCAAAAAAAAAGTCTCATTAATTCTAAACACTTCCACCTTTCTCCTTGCCGCTGCCTTAGTTTCGACAGAGTCTTCCCTTTGATTGCCGTAATAGCCTTCTAGTTCTTCTTCTTGCCTCCAGTCTCAGTTCTCCCATACACTCTCCACACTTTCCTGAGAGTATTATCTATTAAAACATGGAACTCTATCGATTAACAATCGCCAACATCTCCTATTCCCTCCCCCATGTCTAGAGCCTACAAATTAGCATACGCGTCCAACAGTGGGGTCACAGTCCTGAACTTTTCATTTCCTTCCGTTCATCCTTTCTTTCCTTTGGCCAGAAATAGTCCTTTCTCCTATTTGCCAAGGAACCTCTGGTCGGCAGTTACCCACTTATCTTGTGCTTACTTAAATTATGCCTTCTGCAGTAGTAATCTCTCTGCGTGGCAACACTCTGTTCATATCTATACCTCTGTCTTATGCGCTTGTCCTGTATTCTTAATTCCTATATCCCACTAAGACTCCACTAGTTTTTCTTTGTGTCATCAGCACATTATATAGTGCCTGGCACATGGGAGATGCTCAGAAATATTCATTAAATGAATTAACGAGTGAATGCTTTTGATGTCCTTGTGGCTCTTACATCAAACTTTCCTTTTGGAAGAAAATATTTAGCAGATAGAATTCATGAAAGTTAAAAAACTGTGTGAAAGATAAAAATTTTGGCTTTGGACACAGCATATATACTGCTCACTTTCAGGCAGGCAAACACCACTAATTGTCGCTGAAACCAGTCAAAATGTCACTGTGAAGCCGGGCGTGGTAGCGCATGCCTGTAATCCCAGCACTCGGGAGGCTGAGGCAGGAGGATCACTGTGAGTTCAAGACCAGCCTGGGCTACATAGTGAGTTCCAGGTCAGTCTCAACTACATAGTGAGACCCTGTCTCAAACCCCCCCTCAAAAAAAAGTCACTGTGTATGTTGATTCTATGAAGCAAAAATATACACTTATGTATATTATTCCCCTATATTGATATTTTATATAAAAAAGCAAACATAAAAAACTCAACATAAAATTAATTGCAAACAAAGAACATTCCACAATAAAGTATCTGTGATATAAAATTAAATTCTGTGTATGTGTGTTTAGTATTAGCACTTTTGGACCAAGTTAAAACTTATTCAGTAACACAGTCATATAAAGGTGGTTAGGAGCCGGGCATGGTGATACACTCTTGTAATCCCAGCACTGAGGAGGCTGAGGCAAGAGAATCACTGCATGGTCAAGGCCAGCTTGGACTATATAGTGAGTTCAAGGCCAGCCTGAACTGCCTATTGAGACCTGTCTCAAAAAAATAAAAATAAAAAAGTGGTTAAAAAGGAAAATGTGTTTTTAAAAAGTTAAAAAAATTTTTTAAAGCAAAAAGAAAATGTTCATGTACAAACTAAAAGTAATTTGTAATTCCATTTTAAAATTAATTATATAAAATGACATTTAAAAGGATAAGATATTGGCTCAGAAGAATTAAAAACGTTGAGCTGATACCTATTTTTTAAAGAGCTTCCCTTCACTCCCTTTGCCCTCTCTTTAGTTGTACTCACATCACTGACTTGCTGAGTGTTCTGCTTTGCCTGGACCATAACAGGGGAGTCCACGATGCTAGTGAACTTGAGGGTATCTGGGTGCTGCCTGTACTTCTTTTCGTTCAGGGCATCGCCCGCCTTTTTGACTTTTTCTAAATCGAGACTACCGATGGGTATCCAGCCAATGCCCTTCATCCAGGTGTTGTAGTCCTCTTTGTAGGCATTCTGCAGTAACGGGAGAGAGGAGGGGTGTGGGCGCCGGCAGCGGCTCTGACATGAAAGGTGGTGCCCCTGTGGGATGTGGGTGACTTACATCACTCTGTATGTGCATCACGTTTTTAGACAATTCCAGGTTCACGGCGTCAGGCAGGTAGGTGTAATGGTGCAGAGAATGCTTGTAGTTGACATTGCTGATGACATCCTGTGCTTTCTTGGCTGCCACAACATTGAACATGTCGTGAGGTGTGTTGTATTTGGTCTTCATCTTTTCATAGTCTTTTTTATACTCCCGGTCCGATTGTATTTTGGCCACATTCATATAATGTACCAGTTTAGGATCATCTTGGAGACTTTGGAAGCCAACCATCTTCCCTTTAGCTTTTTCATAATCTTTTTTGTACTGAACCTATTGGAAATAAAGGTAGAAATATTTTTTAATGTAACTTTGAAGTTTCAACTGATCAATGAGTCCATGATGGAAATAACTGAGATTCCCAGAAATTACTGTCAATAACCAAACTGATATCCAGTTTTATATATATATAGTCATCCCTCAGAGTTCAAACAGGATTGGTTCTAAGACTGCCAGCCCCACCCCAAGCCCCTGCAGACACAAAAATCCATGGATATTCAAGTCCTTTATATTAAATGTCAGAGTATTTGTATATAACCTATGCACACCTTCTCATATTCTTTATGTCATCTCCAGATTATTTATAATACCTAGTATAATGTAAATGCTATATATATTGTCTGTTTGTTTTGTTTTTTTTTGGTACCTGGGATCGAACTCCGGTCCTTGCACTTGCAAGGCAGGCAGTGGAACCACTGAGCTAAATCCCTGCCCACCAAATACATTGTTTAGGGGATAATGACAGAAAAACGTCTATACATGTTTCATACCGATGAACATTTTTTTCAAGTATGTTTGATTCTGAGGATATGAAAGACCAACAGGTGGGGCTTGAGCCAATTTTATTCAAATATCAAGGCAGAAAAACATCAGTTTGGGGGCTAAACTGAAAGTGGCCAAGAAATAATTTTTTATTATTTTTGGTGCTGTAGATTGAACAAAGGGCTCAATGCATGTTAAGCATGGGCTCTGCTACTAAGCTATACTCTCAGTCTCTTAAAAGTCTTAACTTGAGGGAAACTAATGATTACTAGAATATGTAAAGCTCGATGCCAATCCATCAGTCTCTAGATGTAATGAAGAAAAAAAAAGAGGAAAGGGAAAACAGGAAAATCATCCAAACTCAAAAAGCTTTGAGATAAAATTTTACCATCAGAAGACTATTACAACTTAAACGGTAAATTGCCTCCTTATTTCCATGAGAGAAGCAGTGTGAATTTGTGCAGGGATTCTAAATTAGGATCCTTGATAGGAACTCATTAGTAGTGGTTATGCCAATCCTTTCCGACAAGAAAATTTGGATCTGTAGAACTTTCTCTCCTGAATAGTTTTCAGCCAGACTTGTTTCCAGTCAGGGACACCAGAATCAGTGACTTTAGGAAACCTGGCAGACCCTAAGCCCACTCACATTTTCTAGTTACAAACACGACCACAGCTAGACTTACGTCACTGGCTGCCTGCCTGGCAGCCTTGGCAGCTTTGATGGGAATCGCATCGGTTCTCAGGTCATAGCCCTTCTTGCTCAAGTCTTTCAGGTCAGCTTTGTATGTGGTCTGAAAGAAAAATATCATTTGACACAGCCCAAGACTACATTAGTGGCAGCTAAACATGCACATCAGCCTGAGTCCACACACACCTCGCTGATATTATAGGCATTAACTTTAGCCTGAATGAATTGTGGCAGGTCTGCTGGCAGGCTGTATTTGTGCAGAATTTCCTCTCCTTTGGCTTTGTAAGCGATCTAGAAGAGAAAAGTGTATACATAAATAAAGTAGAGAAAAACATTTAATGCTGCAGGAAAATAATTTCAGAGGGGATCAGGCTGCACAGTGGTGGTTTCAGGAATGACACTCTATACTGTCCCCGTATTCATCTGTACACATCTGTAGGGACTCAGGGTCACAAGTGCAGTTGCATAAGGTTCTACCTTAGTGCCAGTTCAGTCTTTGCACAGATCCCCTGGTGTACACTAGAACCTCTGGACCTGCACGGGGCACCTGGTTAGGGTAGTGACCCAATAAAAATGTTAACTTGCAGACACTTTCACAAGCATGGGTAAGGGTAATACAATGGAGATATGAAACAACGATGTTATATTTTATGGATAAGGGATGTAGGGGTGATTTTATTGTACATGATTTTTGTCCTAGCTTTGACTTAAAATGTAATTCCTTTATTTGATGTAGTGTGTATCTTCATTCTTTCTGATCATTTCTTGAGATCGCTTGCAGTTGTCATTAAGAGAAGTCGCTCTTCCCTTTTCCTTAGAAAGCCATGTCAAGGGGCTGCAAGGACAGCCAGTGCACTGTACATAATACCCAAAAGAATAAGGCGTGCTTAAATGAACAGCCAGAGAAATATGCAGTTGTCCATGTCAGACACTTTAGATTGCACAATTGGTTACAAGTGACCAATGAATTTGAAATACAAATATGTTTGTATCAGTTAACAATTATTAAAGTATAGATAGGAAGACTACTTACATCACTTCTCTGCGCCTGGTTAATTTTGGACTGTACTGTAATTGGAGCATCTTCAATTGAGGTAAACTTAAGTGTGTCTGGATGTTGGCGATACTTTTTCTGTTTGGTGAATCAAAAAGAAAGATTATTTTACTTGTGACTGAAGGCTAACACATTGAAATCCTAAAATTTGTCTTGGAGACATTAGAAGATTTTTTCCCCTGATTTTAAAATGTAAAAATACTAGAGTCTTGATTGATTTGGATGAAAAATAAATACATCACAAAAGTCAATGTTTAAAATAATCTAGTTATGGGTGATTGGGGAGCACAGACCAATATAACTCTCAGGAACCAGACTTAAATTATAGCCTCAATTTCTTGCTTACAGCATGAAAAACTAAGCAGAAACATCACAGAATTCTCTGAAGCATTAACAGGAAAGCAAGCAAGGAGATTCCGAGTGTCTCTGCACCACACTAGAAAGTTGTTAGGAATATCATTTCCCTGTCATTCTATAGCACTGGAGTAGGAAGCTACCCTTATTCCTAGATTTTTCTCCATTTTTCCCAACCCTTATCCCTTGTTTTACATCTCAACTTTGCATAATACTAACATTGCTTTTTAAAGTTCAATCTTCTGAAAACCACCAATCCAGAAAACCTTTTTCTGAAAGATTTCCAAGTAGGTGAAATATTTTCATCAAAAGTAAAAGTATCATGCAACAAGAACAATAAAGACGACCCTCACACAGCCTATGTCATCTTGCAGTCACCCTCTGAGATGATGCAGTCACCTGACAACAGTGAGTTTGCCGCAGATGACAGAAAGGTACAAATAACTTCACTGCTTTAAGATCAGCACCATCAGTTTTTTCTTTGACTGACTAGTAATTTATATACTACCTCAGAATCGCCAAGAATATAACATAGGTTAAATTCGTCAAAGAAGATTTCTGTAACAGCTCCATTACTTATAATCATCCCAAATTGGAAACAACCCATCCATCCACCAACTGGTGAGGAGGCCACCAACATGTGGTATATCCACACAAAGGAATATTACTCAACCCCTTTTTAAAAAAGGAATGAATCATAGGCACACAAAGAAACATAGATAACCTCAAAAACATTATAAGAAGCAAAAGAAGCCAGACAAAAAAGAAACTTCTAGAAAAGATAAACCTATAGCCGGAGAGCAGATCAGCAATTGGTCTGAAGATGAGAGCAGGAATGGGTGAGGTGATGGTTTGGAGTACTACTAACATTTTAAAACTCATTTGTGGCAACAACTATACGATTACATGAATTTATTAAAATCTGTTAAGCTGTACACTTAAAATAGGTGTTTTATGACATTTAAACTATCCCTTAATAAAGGTGTTAAAATATATCTGTTAGGAATGGTTAACATGAATAATCTGGGTAATGTAAAGGACTATGCTTACCTACCTGGCTAACTTACACTGTGGTACATTTTTTTTTCCTCAGCAACCATGACCAGACAATGACACAGAAAGGAGACAATTCCCATGGTTTTGAGAGCTTTAAGTGACATCATCACAAACCTCTCTCTGACACACTCAGGAGCTTTACCTCATTAAGGATATCAGAAGCTCGCTTTGCCTTTTCCATTTCCAGGGACCCGAAAGGCATCCAGCCACAACCTTTCATCCAGCTGTTGTAGTCAGCTTTGTATTCAACCTAAAACACAAAAAGAAAAGTTACCTTTCTCTGTTCATTGTTCTCCCTGTTAGGTAAAATCAACATTTCGCTCAAATGCTTCTTAAGATTTTTGAGCAGCTTCATTACTTGATATATGAAGATCATTTCACGCATTTCTTTGGTGGGAGATTCTAAGAGTCCTCAGATTTTTTTTTTCTAACTAGCCTGTGTTCCATTTTATCCTTACTTCCACTTAATGGAAGTATGTGGGATTCTAACTCCAGTGTGGAAAATCTCCAATTGAAAGCTCTGTTTCAGCCCAGCATGGTGGCACATGTCTATAATCCCAATTTGAGAGGCGGAGGCAGGAGGATCATGAGTTGGAGGCCAATCCAAAATAGCAAGTTTGAGACAAGCCTGAGCTATATAATGTAACCCTCACCTCAAAAAATAAAAAACTGTATTTCAAAGAATAAATGAAATTATTGTATTTAGATAATCAAATGTAAGATGTTTGCCTGAAACTTTACATATTATGCTTCTATGGTCAAATTAGGCCTGCAGGTCACATTGAAGGTAGGTAATTGTGTCCATTTTCTAGTTAGATAAGACTGGATAGTAGCTATCTGTCCTGTGTGTGTGCACACAATGTACTTCACATGTACTGTCCTGCATAGGAGTGTTTCTCTAACACACAGGGTGGTTGGCTGACAAAACACTTTGAAGTAGTTGCACTCATTAATTTGCTTAAGGAAGCAGTTTTATTTGAGGAATAGTTACTTGATGCTATTAAAAGAATGCACCACTTTGGTTGTCTGGCCACAGATAATACCTAAAACATATTCAAGATACAAAATTCAAGTTGTTCTTCAGTGTGGGCCTCTTAACTAGAATAAAAAAGAAAATCAAGAAAATATTTCATTTCTTCCCTTAAGAGGCTTAAAATCTATTTGAGATGAAGAAACACAGAAAAATTAAATAACAAATAAGATAATATTGTGTATAATAGAGTTGTTAGTGGTAGGAGTATAAAACTGTTTAGCCAGTAGGGAAAGTACTATGATGGTTCCTCAAAAAAGTAAAAATGAAACTACCATATGATCCAAATTGAAATATAGAACATATATCCAACAATTCAATTTCTGGATATATATCTAAAAAAATTAAAAGCAAGATCTTAAAAGAGACCTTCATACACTCATAGTCATAGCAACATTATTCCCATAGTGAAAAGGTCAAAGCAACCTAAATATCCACTACCAGATGAACAGCCAAACAAAATGTGGTACGGTATATATATATAAGGGAATATTATCCAGCCATAAAAAGTAAGGGAATTCCGACAAAAGCTACAACATGGATGACCCTGAAGGACTTTATGCTAACTGAAATAAGCCAGTCACCAAAGACAACACTATGATTCCACATAAGTGAGATACTTAGAGTAGACAAATACATGGAATCAGAGAATAAAATGGTGGTTGCCAAGGGTTATGGGAAGTTTTTGGGTAGTAGATATATAGTTTCTGTTTTGAGAGACAAAAATAGACACTGGTTGGACAACAGCATGCAAATATACTTAACACTGCTGCGCTGTATATTTAAAAATGGCAAGATGGTAAATTTTATATTATATGTATTTTACCACATTTAAAATTAGAATTGTTAGGATGAAGAATTTAATTGTGTAGCTCATATAAATTAATTTACCTAAAGAAGTTTTGATCTGCAGAAAACAATTCATTTCTAATAAGGGATGCAGAAAATGACTTAGGATATTTCCTTTTCAGACAAAATAGTAATTTATATAAAACTTATTGATAATGATGAATCACGATAATGGTGGTGATAATGATATGAATGTCTATCGAGGACTTGACCAGGGTCTGGTAGTGTGCAAACTTGGCATATATTTAAATCTGCAAAACAATTCTTTTGTTTTATTCCAATTAATCAGCAAGGTTATTTTTCCAAGGTTGCTAAGTTTCCCAAAAGGAAACACAACTGGAGTCCAATCCAAGGGTCCCTAAGCCTCAAGGCCACGTTCCTACAGAACTACGAGAGTAGTTGTCCTTACCTACTTGTTTATTCACAAAGGACAACACAGATGCTTCTGGGAAGGGCCCAGAACAATTCTCCATGGAGAAACCCTTTTGGTTTCCACAGTCAAAAGAGGGGTTGGAGAGAGCCCGGCTACTCACGTCACTCTGCAGTGCATATGCCTTCTTGGCGAGGTCCATGTTGACACTGTCTGGCGGGTAATTGTAGTTGTGTAAGATGTGCCTGTAGTCCACATCGCTGGCAATCTCTTGAGATTTCTTAGCTTGAGTGACTTGGAGCATATCAAGAGGTGCTGTGTAGACAGTTTTTGACTTTTCATAGGCTTTACGATATTCACGCTGTAAACAGGAAATGATCCTTTATTACCACAAATCCTTAAAGGATTTCCAGAAAAGTACAGTAAATACAATTTGGAGAAACAGATACAAACATCTGAGTAGTTATTTTGCACCCAAATTTGTCACATTCCCCCAGAAAAATCACACATGGAAGAATCTTTTCAAATACTTTCAGGATCAAAGGCAACTGTTAGAGAGCTGCAGCAGACATAAAGAATGGGCCACGGCTTCTCCTTTAGCCATGGTTTCTCTAGGACCAGTATCAAGCCTTTAAAGAGTTTGCCCATCAAGAAGCATTTTTTAAATTAATAAAATCACGTGACAATAATTTCATACCTCTGATTTTATAAAATGTCTACTTCATAAATAGGACTGTGGCCTCCTTGCTTTCTAGAGTCAGTTTTAATTGGATAGCTATGATTTTTCAGCCTGGGTATTATATTCTTGACAGTAGAGAAGCCCCATAGAGAATTTTTAAATTATTTTTTAAAAGCTTCTGATTGTAGCAGTTATGAGATCTCAGAGGAGGAAAGTTTGTGAAACTGAGCTATTAAAGTAACCTTGGTCCTTAGCTACAGTGTTCTCATAAACCAAATGTCCTGGCAGGGCCTTAAGAGACACCTTCATTGGTGGTTTTCTGGACTGGAAGACAGGAGGCTAAGTAGGTCAGCTTCATCATATCCACTCCCCAGTTACCTTGATGAAGAGAAAAATTCAGACCCACTGCCTTTAGAGACATTATCCCACCCTATCTACCTATAATCACATGTTAAAGTCAGTGACCTCAGCTAGCAAGAACAGATGTGCATTATAAATCTTTATCAATTTCTTTCACAAATGATTTGATTTTTTTTTTAGCTTAAGGAACTTGATGTTCCTTCTCATAATCTACAGGTAGCCATTTTTGCTGAATAAATCTTTCACTTAATTGTAGAATCTAGACTCTGGTTTATGAAAATAAAATCCAGAAATTTATTGTGGTATGCAAGAACATTTTAAAAATAGCTACTTTTTAATGAGAATGAGACTGATAAAGCAATGTCACAAAAGTATTTGGTATGTGGAAGTGTTCTTTACTAAATTAACTCATGTAGAATGTGTCCAAGTTCACACCAGCTGACACATACCAATGCACATAAAATGCTAAAAAGATACAAATTCCCTTCTACACTCGTACCTCAGAGTCTAGCCTGGATATTATGTGAAAATTACTATTTCTTTCATGTAGCAACATCAATCAATTAACAAACATTCAATGATTTATTTTGTGCCTATTGTTCCAACGCATTGTTATAGAATGCAAAGCAAAAGATAAAGGCGCATGTGATGTGAAAAGAGAGCTACAATCTTCTTGAGTTTAGAAGGCATCAGGAACTGGAGAACAGAGTGTTATGTATGTGAGCTCTGTATACTCACATAACACAGAAGGTGTGTCTAAAGCATAGTACAAATAAAAATTTAAAATTCTAAATTAACATTCAAGAAAATGACATACACATTCTTTTTGTTCATCAACTAATATTTGTAAGCTACGTTGAACATTGTTATTGTTCTTAAAGGGTTCTTTAAATTTTTTAGGAACACATTATATACTGTAATTTGCAATATCTGATATTTGCCTCTCTATAGTAAGAATGTAACTACACAGTGCTAGATGGTCTATAAATATTCTTTTAAAAATCCATGAATTCTGGGGCCGGGGATTTAGCTCAGTGGTTCGGTGGCGTGTCTTGCAAGCGCAAGGACCCGAGTTCAATCCCCGGTACCAAAAAAAAAAAAAAAAAAACCCCAAAAAAAAAAAACAAAAC